AGAAGCAGGTTCTACAAAACTAAAAATTTTTAAACTAAACAATTCTTTTTTAGCCAACAGATTAATGCCAGTTATTTAAGAGACAATTAAATATAATAAGCGAGATTTATAGAAGGCTGATACATGAAAATATAACTGAGGCAAATTACAGACTTATACTATTTTGAGAAGAATAACAGATCTCTGCAGTGCTGGTGTTTTTGGGATGTGGAAGATGGCCTGTGATTGAGCGGACTGGAACTTTCTATTTAGACTCTCTGAAAAATGGATTACATATATGTTGAGCTATAAGGCAAGAGAACTATGGAATTGGGGCATGCAGATGATCTGGCTGTTACCCTAACGTGGTTGTTGGAATTAATAATCTAGACAAAAGACATTACAGAAGATACCATATGGAATATAAATATAAAGTCACTCGGGGGGGGGGGGTTATATACAGAAATACTTATTAATGATGGGGGCAGATGGTAATTGAAGATACTGAATATACTGTTGGAAGCAGGACTTGATGTTACCCTAACATGGTGGATGGAATTAACTATCTAGTTGAAAGACATTACAGAAGATACTATATGGAATACAAATTTAAAGTCATTTGAGGGTTTTATGGAAATATCTTTTAGTGATATGGGCAGAAGAATAAAGATATTAAATATATTATGTATGGTAGACCTGTAGGAAAGTGGGTGATATAAAATTGATATGGTACAAGGGGATAGGTTAGGTTACTGATTGCTTAGTTTAGGAAAAGTGATGTTATGTTTAGATATTAATATATTTAAAAGAAATATAAGTATCCAGGTGGAGGAAATGGGTAGATTATGAGTAGAATAAATGCCAAATTAGGATCTATTATGTAGTTTTTAGCCGAATGCTGTTAAATGTATAGTATACAGGGGATATAATAATAATGTTAGGAAGAAATGTATAGCACATAGGGGGTGGTGTATAAGGGTGGTAAAGTATTATATAATGTGATATTAATGTGGATTTCATCTTGGAGAAGCCATGGGGGGAAGGGAGGGGGAGGCGGTTTGGGGGGGAAAGGGGGAAAATTTGTATTTGAAAAACTTTTTCAATTAAAAAAAAAAGACTAAGCAGAAGCAGTATGGGAGGAGAACTGAAAGGAAAGGGGTCCTGCACTTCTGTCCCTGAGGGAAAGACCCCAGACCACCATTCGGAGATGAGCTGCTCCTAAAATGAGAACTAAAAAGTGCCCCCTCTAACCAAGATGAACAGCACACACATCGTATTGTATTGTATCGCATCGTATATCATATATCCTAATTAGTTAGTTTTGGCGAGAGTCTCCGAGCGGTGGAGGCTAAGAGGTCCTATGGAGAGCAGGTGGAAGGCCAGAGACAAATCCAGGCTGGGCCTGGACTCCTTGAAGCCTCCTTGGCCTTCATTGGCCTTTTCCCTCAATGTCTATAAAATGGTCTGAAGGGTACCAGGAAGAATGGGGAGAAGTCAGAGGTTTCCCTGCGTGGGGACAGACCTGCCAGCCCTTCTGTCCTGGGTCACAGGAGGCCCAACTCTGGAACTGCTAAGTGAGGAGGGGGAAGGAGAGGAGAAGGAAAGAGACCCCCCCCATACACACCCGCCCGCCCGCCCGCCCAAGTCCTTCCAGCTGCTGCTCCCTTCCCTCCTTTGCTGTCCCCCAAAGGCCAAGGGCTGGTAAGTAAAGGTGGAGGGAGGCCCCCACCCGCACCCCAGATGCCTCCCAAGGAGCCCGTATTTTCCCCACACACGAAACTTCCTAAGTTCCCACCTTGGCTCCCTCTCTGCATGCCACCCGCACAGATCCTGCACCTGAGTGGCCCCAAGAGCTCTGCCGGCGGCCGCATTTACACCGTATCCTGAAGCCAAGCTGACCAAGCAGGCCGGATTTGCGCAAGAAGCCGAGCAGTTCAAAATAATCATTCCGGTTGAAAGTGACCAAGTTTCGCCTCCGGTCGGCAGCCGCAACAAAGACACACACACAGCGCCCGGTGCGGCTCCTCGGAGGCTCCCCAGGCTTATCTTCACCGCACCCCGCGGCCAGACCGGGCGCTGACCGAGGGCGACACGGAAGACGCGCTTTCGAGGTCGAGTAGCCGCCGGGCGGCTTGCGGCGGCCACGTCAGTCCCCGAAGGCGCCGCGGACCCTCCGCTTCCCTTCCCCGCCCCGCCCCGCCCGCTTCCTGGCCTTCTGGGGAAGCCGCGGACGGCGCGGCGCAGTGGAGCCGGAGAGAACTGCGCGAGTCCGGCGCTGGACTCTCCCCTCCCGCAATGGAGGAAGGCCCCGCCCAGGCCCCCCTCCCCAATGGCCGATAGTTCCCTCCAGCGCGCCCCATTGGTCCTGCTCAAGTTTCTGGCTCCCCGAGGGGGGCTTGGAAGCGGCCACAATCACTGCCGGCCACGCAGGCCCGCTGAGGCTTGGAAGGCCTCGGAAGAATCCACTCCAACCCGAGTCACAGGAGAGGATTTTTCTCCCTTCCCTCCGGCGTGAAGGCAAGCGGCTGGATGAAGTCCAGCCCCCATGAAGAAGGGCTTTCCCTACAGGAGCTGCTGGACACCCCCACCCCCCATGACCCTGCCATGGGACTCTGCCAAGCCTAATATCTAACCCCTGATAATAAGCTGACTGCAGCTGCTGCGCTCCTCAGGACGGCCAAGTGAGTGGCCCAGATGTCTTCTTGGGATAACCCGAGTCCCCCCTGCATCAAGACAATGGCCAGGTTCTCCCAACAGGTCAATTCTGCCTTGGCACAAAAGGGAGGGAGGGAGCAGAGCTCTGGCACTGGGTGCAAAGAAGCCAACTTGGCTGGGAGGCTGGACTCTCTTTGGGAAAGGACCACAGCTGGCTGGAGTGCAAGACAAACAGACCCACAAAAGTTTAACCGGCATCAATTTGTTTAAAAAAGAAAAATCGACAGAGGAATCGACATTGCAGTAATTCATTGTGTAACCAGAGCACGGACTCTGAATGCCCAACTGTCCAGCAGGGAAGGAATGGAGGCAGACCTTCCCCACTCTGGAGCCTTCAGCACAATCCCAGAGACCTCAGTGAGGAAAATCTCAGTCCTGCTTGCAAAGGGTGCAAAACGCCCCCCCCCAAACAGGCTAATGTGAGCAGCAGAGCCAGATAAGCAGATACTCCCTACCCAGCATCCTTTGGGGCAGCCAGTGAGGAGCTTCGCACAATGCCACCGGCAACAGTGGCTGCGAGGTACATGATCCTTCTGTGGCACCACAGCCCACCAGTCAACAGTCAGGACCTTACAGAAGGGAGACCAATCTCACTTGAAGAGGTGGCAGGGCAGCCGCAGTGGGGGAAAAGTCAAAATCACTTAATTAGAATTATGTTAATGAAAGCTAAATATAATTACCATGTTCTGCCCAATGGTGACAGGAAATATCATCCAGTGACAATTCTGCAGCCTCGGACCCTGGCTGGCCTCAGGCATCTGCATGGGAGAAATTCTGCAACCAAGCAGGCAAATCCCTGTTTGCCTCACCTGGATCAGAAATGCACACCTATGTGATGGTCTCTGGTCGCTCAGATGCCAGTTGTGCGCTGGGGACCCTGAGTGGGTGGAGACTCATCAGCCTCCCAGAAATTGTGAATCATAGGTTGCCAATGCAACAACCTCGATGGCTGTCAAAGAGCTCCCTAAATGGCACCTCTCAGCCCAGGCCTGGGGCATCTCTGCTCAATTGGTTTTCTCACTCAATCAATTCTTCGGCTTCGGTGTCAGCCTGAATCCTACTATAATCGCACGCTTTGTGATTAGCTGATCAGCTCTTGACAACCGGTCTCTGTGGAGCTTCAGATACAGAATCGCGGCTTTTCACGATAAAACCCGCCTTTTGCTCCGCACGGGAAGCACCTCTTGCTTTCAAGGCAGAGAAGGGCCAACAAAGCCGGAGCGGCGGGCGGGATGTCGACCTAATGAGTTGTTTACATGCCTGCTGAGCCCCAACAGCCCCCCCCCACTCCGGAGCGCCTCTGCCTCACACCCACAACAGAAACAACCCGCCCGCTGATGCCCGCAGTTGTCAACACCTCCAGCAGCCTCCGGGGCTCCGGCCTTCCTGCTCCGGGTTTTGGGGGCAGAGTTCGCGGAGGAGCGGAAAGCGCAGCGCAGGCCAGCCCCACAGCCGAGCTCTGGCCGCGGCCCTCCGAGGCGACGAGCCACCGCCTCCCTCGGCATCGCTGTCGAGCGCGGCCCCTTCCCGGCGGGTCTGCCTGCAGGGCTCCCTCCCCCAGCGCCCCTCTCAACGGCGACCCCGACCGAGAGGCCGGCCCGCTGCCCTGCGGAGGAAGGCCCGCTGCTCATGCCCCGAGGAGCGCGCTTGGAGGCGGCGCCGAACCCCGCGGAGCCTCGGGACGCCTGCCCGGCTTCGGGAAAAGGGGCTCCGCGAAGTTCCACGAGGCCCCGGGAACAGGGCGGGGAGGCGAAGCCGGAGCGCGGCAAGTTTGACACGGGGGCGGCGGCGGGAGGAAGCGGCGAGGGGCGGCCGGGCAGCTCTCCCGAAGGTCATGGCGACGCCTCTCGAACCGCCCGGGAGGACCCTCGGCCGAGCCGCGCCGGACTGGAAGGTCGCCCGCTACAGCCGAGAACGGGAGACCGACCGGGGCGTCCAGGAAGCTCCGGCTCTTCGGGCCACCTCGGCCTCCCGCCCCGGGCCTCGTCTTGCCGGCCGCCCGGCAGGAGTTGCAGATCCCCGCGACTTGCCGCCGCTCCCGGCACTCGGACTGAGCCCTCCGGGCGGCGAGGAGGCCTGGCGCCCGGCCGAAGCTTCCAGCCGCGCAGAGAAACGCTGGCAGAGGCGGCCGCTCCCCCCGCCGCTCCCCGGCCCGAGCCTGCTCGGGGGCAAAAGAGGCAGCCGCTGCCCGCGCCCTCGCCCGGGTTGCCGCCCCCAGCGCGCGGGGCTCCCGTTTGTCCCAAGCCCCCCCCCCCCCCCCCTTTCCTCGGAAAAAAAAGGAGCCAGCAGCAGCAGCAGCCACTCACCCAGCGGGAGGAAATGTTTGGTGTCCATGTCTGCGATTTAACTCATGCCCAGCGGCGCGGCGCGGCGTGGCGATCGGCGGCGGGAAAGAGCCGAGGCGGCGGGAGGGCCCCGCTGCGGAGCCCGCCGAGCCAGAGGCGCAGGAGGCGGATCCCGGGGCGGCCGGCTGGAAGGGCCCTTCCGCGTCTCTCCGCGTCGCGCTGGCGGATAGGGGGCCGGGGCTCTCCTCCCCCCTCCCGCGGCGGCGGCTCCGGAGCCTCGCTCCCTGCCTCGCCTCCTCCTCCTCCTCCTCCTCCTCCTCGCAGACAGAAGCGCCTTTCGAAAGGCCGCCGCAGGCAGAGCCGAGAGGAGCCGAGCCAGTCCCGCGGGGTGTGCGCAACGCCGCGGCGGAGGGAGTTGGGAAAACTCGCCCAACAATGTAACTAAAGTACAGGACTTGTGTCGGGGCCTGCGCGCGCCCGCAGCTGGCGGCCGGGGGCGAGCGAGGAGCGAGCCAGTGCGCGCGCCCGCTCTCTCTCCAGGAGCAGCAGCGCAAAGGGGCCCGGCGAAGGGGGAGTCCGACGGCCGACCGGCCACGGCGACGGGGCGGTGCGCTGGGCCGTTCCCGGGGCGGGGGCTCTCGGCGGCCCTCCCCGCGCGCCCACAGGGCCGGCTTTCCCGGAGCGGCTCGGACGTCTCGAGTGCCAGCTGGAGAACGGGGGCTTCGTGGGGGAGGGAAGCGGCGTGGAAGCCGCCCGGGTCCCGGACTCTGGCTGCCCGCCATCGGCTGGACGAGGGGCGGGGAGGGGCGGCGGGTCCAGCGCAGAAGGAAGCCGACTTGCCGGAGAGCCGGAGCCCTGCGGGCGCTGCCCCCCTCTCGGCACTGCTCCGGCCAACCGCCCGAGATACGGGCCATCGGTCTCTCGGCGGCGACGGCTCCCGGGCCGCTCCTGGCCTGAAAAGCGAAGCCGGGCTGGGATTGTCGGCTGCCGCCCGGCGCGAAGCCCACGGACCGCTCGCAGCCCCGTGCCGGGAGGGCGGCCGAGCTGGGCTGGCCTTGGCGTCGGCTCCGCAACACGGCCGGGGCCGGAGGGCGCGCTCAGCCACCCACAGGCCGAGGCGGAGGGGCCCCCGACCCCGCCTGGCCATTGGCTGCCCGGCAGGACGGGCCGAAGCCTGGAGCACGCTCCCCTCCCCCCCCACTTATTCCGAGCGGGGAGGGCCCTCCAATCGCAGCGAGGGGGCGGGCCCAGTCAGCGCGCGCATTTTGGGTTCGTGGAGGGGACGCGCGCGGCCGAAGCCCACGGAGACGCGGGAAGACGGAGCTGACAAGCCGGGAACGGGGCTTGTTCGAGGAGACGCCTGCCAAGCAAGCGCCTCGTGTGGGCAGGCAGACTCGGGCGAAGAAGGTGACACATATATATGCCAGAAACTTCGGGATCCCCCATCGCGATCGGACACCCAGGTCAAGTGGGGACAGCCTGGTCAAATGGGGGGGCACCCCTTTCCCATTCGACCAGCCAGGGCTTTATAGCTAATAAGACAGCCAAGATCACTCTGAAGTGGACCCAAAAGCCGCAACCGGACCACCAAAGGGATGGGATGCTTAGAGGCTGGTGCAGCAGTCTAACCATGCAATGAGGGCTTTGCTGTCACCAGATAACATGGTCTGGAAAGGGCCATTGCCAGCACAACACAGAAAGGGACCTAAGTGATTTTTCTTAGGACAGGGATGAAACCTCACTCCAAACCAGCAGATTATCCCTTGGAGCAATTTGTATAGATGTTAAAGAACATAGGGGAGTCCACAGCTACCCCATATTAGCAACAAGGGCCCCTGCTGCTGAGCCCTGGAATTGCCCACTGGCCCAAGGAAAAGCAGAATACTCATAAAGGGACACTCCCAGCCTTCTAAGACTGAATACCCAGGACATCATGGTTGGTGGTCCTGAAGACTACAGAGATTCATACTTCAATGCTTTCTCCAGAATCCACCCACTCAACAAGTTGGAGATTAGAATCTAGAATAATAGGGTTGGAAGGTACCTTGGAGGAACAGTTGCAGGAACCGGGCCTGGCTAGTCTAGTGAAGAGAAGGACCAGGGGAGACAGGATAGCAATCTTCCAATATTTGAGGTGCTGCCACAGAGAGGAGGGGGCCAAGCTATTGGTCCTGAAGGCCAGACAAGGAATAATGGATGGAAGCTGATCAAGGACAGATTAAACCTGGAAGCAAGGAGAAATTGACTAGACATACCCAATTCTTGCAACCTTTCTTCATATATTTTAGGCTTAGCCCCTCTTTATTGCTCTTCTCTGCATTCTTTCCAGAGTGTCAACATCTTTATATTGTGGTTACCAAAACTGGCTGCAATGTTCCAAGTGTGGTGTTACCAAGGCATTATAAGTGATACTTAACATTGATCTTGATTCTATCCCTCTGTTGATGCAGCCTAGGCTTTTTTGGTGGCTGCCACACACTGCTGGCTCATATTTAAGTGACTGTCCACCAGAACTCCAAGATCCCTCTCACAGTTACCACTATTGATCCAGGGCTCTAGAGCAGGGGTCTCCAACCTTTGCTGGCTGGGGAATTCTGGGAGTTGAAGTCTGCCAGGCTTAAAGTTGCCAAGGTTGGAGACCCCTGCTCTAGAGAAGGTTTTGATATTGCGAAAGAAGAGGAGAATCAGCAAGATGGATGGGCTCAGTCACAGTGAGGATGAGGGCAGAACAGATCTTCAATCTGTTCAACTACAATATGTGGTTGCTAAGAATCAACAATGCACCTAGTGGAAGATGGCAAACAATCATTAAACAATCAATTTACTGGATAACTAACCAATTAGATAATAGCTTTCACACCAAGACCGAAGAGAACTACATTCTGAAATTCCTAATTTCAACCAATACCAAAGTTTAAAAAGTCCTTGATGATATTCTTGAAAGTTTGGAAAATATAACACAAACTTGCAGCTAAATCATATTGGCCATATTCATCTTCCCCAGATACTCCATGGAATCCTAGGCCATCTATAAAACAAGTTTCTTCTTCATCTGAATCAAGGATAAAGTTCAGAATTACCCACTGAGAAAACTTTCTAAGAATCTCTGAATCAAAAGACACAAGGAAGCAGAACATAACTTCCATCCTATAGTCATATAGTTGTCAAAACTGACCTACCAGAATGGAATGGCACCACTCAAACCTGGGAACAGTACACTTTTGACTTTGGTCAGATTGGCACTTCCCCATTCAAGGGGGGGGGTGCTATTTGGGGGTCTTCCTGTAATTGCAGCTCCTTCTTGTTGAACATGTGTTTGATTGTGGCCCAGAAGACCTTTGCATCAGTGTGCCAGTTGCAGTCTTTCCCAGCTTGGCCCTTCAGATGCCCTGGTCACCAACTGACTTGACTACTGCAGCATGGTCCTCTTTGGGCTGCTCTCAAAGACCCTATTGAAGTTTCAACTTCAGTGGTCCAGAATGTAGTGGTGCAAGAAATGAGCTGCAGTGGCTGCTGCTTCTGGGTGTGATTCAAGGGCGCTACTTAGAAAGCCTTATATGGCAGAGGTCCTGGTTCCCTGAAGGACCACCAAAGCATCTGTCCAGATCTTGGCACTCTCTTGTTCCTTCAATTAAATGGTGACTCTCTTGGGACCCAGGAGGGGCACCTTCTCCGTAGCAGCACCTGCTCTCTGACATGAGGCTCCTCCCGATTTTCAAAGGTTTCCCACCCTGCTGGTGTTTTGGAGGGGCCTGAAGACCTGGTCTTCACCTGGTCTTTGATGTGGGGAGGGATAATTGAAGCTCCTTTCTTATTATTCTTCCCACCTGAGTTTGTTATTCTGCCATTTCTACATTTTTCATTTATATTCATGTCTTACTTTTACCTTTTAAGTCATTTGTAAACCACCCAAGGTTGATGGGAGTTGGGCAGCAGTTTAAATTAAGTTAAATTAATTCTTGAGCTCCAATGGCATCCAGTTGGTTTTCTCCAATTATGCTATAAACAGACTGGTTATCAAAATGAGATTAGAAACGGGAGTTTCTGGCTGAGGTACAAAACGTGTGAACTCCCCCCTTGCGCTCTGCGGCTTCTGCTGGGATCCTTTTCAAGTCCTCAGGGTTTCCAGTAGCACAAGAAAGAAACTCTAAGGCCAGACGGAAAAGTATCCTTCAGATGTTTCGCTGCATCCTTAATCCAAGATGATGACAAAGATGATGCACTGAAAATTGTACATGATTTAGGGACCAAGTGAAAAAGCACAGAGGGAAACTGGCAGGCCAGCCACATAACTGTGAAGAAGTCATGCTTATATCAACACCTCCTCAGAAACCTCCAGGTAACCAGGGCAGAAGCTTTCAAAATAAATCAGAGCTACTGAATTCTGTTGAGACAACTCCACTATTTGAATGTTATCAGTCTAAATGGCTTTGTATAAGGCCAAGTGGAGCTGGTTCTGTCATAAGCAGAAGAACCTGAGATATACTGGCCCAGACTTTAGCCGGGGCTGGCTGAAATATTAGGCTGTACAGATATTGAAGAAATGTGTTGGGAACAGATAACAGGATCTTTATCTTGTTCAAGAATGACATACTACTTGCTTCATAGAGGTCAGGGTTCTTCTGCATTAAAAGAACAGACAAGACAACAACATGTAGTTTGGTATCAGTCAGATGGGACAAAACCATCTGGTCTGTTTTCTCAGGTTTGTACATTGAACTACAGTCATAATTTGTGATTCTAGAGACCCAGTTGTGTTGCCCATTAAGTTCATAATTCATGCTGGCACCGTAGTACTTGTAAAATTCAGATTAGGAAGAAATCAAAGGCCAATAATGCTCACAAGGTAAATGGGATATATAAAGAATGAACAAAATTAACAGTTGCTTAACCTTACTATGCTGTCTAACAAATGCCCTTTGAAAATTAGTTACAGTTAATGCAAAAACTGTATCATCTCCTGTTCAACATCTGTCTGAAAATTGTGAGAGAAAGCTATTGCACTCACAGTGACATGATTATGTCCCAGAGCGCTAAATGGGGATTTCGCTTGGGAAGGAGCTTCAGAGAAGGACTTCTGCGGGAGAAATGAAAGCAGTCTTCCCACTCAGAAGGCCCAGACCCTCTCAAGGTAGCCACAGCTTCTTGGCTCCGTGGGAATTGGATGGG